AAAGCAAAATATGTCGGAAATAGCATCAACTTTTAGAATAAGTTTAGATTTGTTCGAATTGGCACGAATTATGACCTTCAAACGGCTAATAAAACCGTCACACGCTGCCCGAATATTGCTCTGCGGTATTTTGGCCATTTCGACATTGATCGACACATGAACATTTATATCCAATTTTAGGTTTGTTGCGCAAGTTATGACAGATATTAGTATTGGAAATAGCGACCCTTTGAGGGTGATGTACCGGAAGGGGTTGGCAGATATATATCATCTTAACAACATATCTTGCGTTGTGAAGAGAAATTTGAAGAGAATTGGATGCTTATTTCGCTTTCTTTGAGCGTTTAGTTTTTCAAAATGGTCCGATCTCCAGCATTTTTATAACACATCTTGTGTTGGTAGAAATATTGAGATGTGCCAAGTCTCAATGGAACCGGATGTTAATTTCGCGTTTTATGAGCTTCATGATTATTCAAAATTTTGACCCTTTGTGGGGGGAGGTACCAGAAGGAGCAGACCGATATATCCCACCTTCACAGAAGATGTTGTGTCAGTGGAAATAATAGGATGTGTGAAATATGAAGAGAGCAGGATGCTTATTTCGGATTTTGCAAGAACAACTTTGACCCTTTGTGGTGGAGATACCAGAAGAAATTTTCCGATCTATACCATCTTTATGACATATCTTGAGTTGATGAAAATATTCAAAATGTGCCAAAGTCTAAATGGAATTGGATGTTAATTTCGTGTTTTATGAGCTCCATGGATATCAAAAATGTTGACCCTTTGTGGGGGAGGTACCAAAAGGAATGAACCGATATATTCTATCTTTACACTAGACCTTGGGTTAATAAAAATAAAAAAAATTCAAGACAATCGAAATCGTACAAGAGTTATAATTATTCAAAATGATGGAGTATACCGATATGGTGCATTTTTGCACCTAACCTAGTACTGATAGAAATAAAGAGATTTGCAAAATTGGTGCAAAATCGGATTATCCTTTCTCTTACTGTGCAGTAATTTTTATACCCTTCACCATAGTATGGAGGATATATTAAGTTTGCCATTCCGTTTGTAACACCTCGAAATACCCCAAAAGTATATATATTCTGGATCAGCATAAAATTCTATGTCGATTTATCAATATCCGTCCGTCTGTCCGTTTATCCACCTGTCCGTCTGTGGAAACCACTCTAGCTTCCGAATAAAATGAAGTAGGTTGATAAAATTTTACTGAAATGTGTATTATGTCTGCATATAACGGCACCTCCCGATATGCGGTATTTTGATGATTTTAGCGACATTATTTACCGGAACTATTTCAAATTTGGTATTTGAATTTCATAATGAATACTACAGCCTAAGATAATGAATTGTCTGTGCAGGTCCATGTTTTATAACCCTCATGGTACCTTCCTATATTCGGTATTTTGATGATTTATTTTTATAAACTGATTTTTTTTTCAAGTTTTTCAAGCACTTGAATATTATAATAGCTTCTGACAAAAGTTGCCTACGCAGGTCCACATCGTCGTATAGACCCTAATATACGGCTACATTCGGTATTTTTAAGATTTTAAAGGAATTTTTAACGGATTTTATTTGTTTTAAAATTGCCAAATTTACGTGCATACACACATACTTACAAAACAAAAGAAGCATAACATCAATTACATAGAGCTGCGGCAATGCAATTGCAACGTAAAATTCCACCAACTTCACAAAAGTGGTGACGATTCTCTTTTTGACTCCATTTCACATTGAACCAATTGCTTCATAGCTTTTCAAACACACAACAACACAAATTCAAATTCTGAATTAGAAAATCGTAATGGATACTACAGCCTAAGACAGAAAAAGAGGCATGTGGGTCTACGTCTTCGTATAGCCCCCATATAATGGTACCTCCGATATTCGGTATTTGGGTGATTTTAGCGACATTATTTAACTGAATTATTTTGAAGTTCGCAATGGATACTACAGCCTATGCCAGGAAATTGTATGTGCAGGTCCACGTATGGTACCTCCCTAAATTAGTTTTTTTTTTTATTTTAGCTACAGTTTTTTTTTTCAAGTTTCGCATTTGAATTTTTCGCATTGAAATTTTTGTAATAGCTTGTGACAAAAGTTGCCTATGCAGGACCACGTCGTCGTATAGATCCTATTATACGGCTACATTCGATATTTTTAAAATTATAACAGAATTTTTAACGGATTTTGTTTGTTTTGAAAATTGTTAAATTTGTACCAATTAGTGGAGGGTATTCAAAGTTCGGCCCGGCCGAACTTACACCTTTTTTTACTTGTTTTCTTCTAAAAATTTGTGTTTAAATGCGTTTCACTTTTAGGTGGAAATAAACTGTTTATCGTTGCAACAATAGCTCGTATTGTTTTGGAAGCGAAGCGGAAATGACAAAAACAACATTTAATTGACAAATAAAAAAACACTAAACAATTTTGTTGTAAACAAAGAAAGATATAAAATAAGAAATAACACATTCGAAGTGGCTAAATTACGTTGAATAAATAAATAAATGCTTTCAATATTCAAAATTATGATACTGATGGGCTCTCAAAAAACATCTTTTAGGTTATTAAAATTTTTTTCTATAAATTCTCAAAAATATTCTTAAAATATAGAAAATTACTCCTCTAATGGTCCCAAAAATTGATAAAAAATAAATTATTTAAAGCGCTGGAGTTTAACGAAGTATACTACATGTAAGAGCTGACGTCCCTTAAAACATTTTTTTTAATACCGCGAATGTTTGTCTAGTAGGTCTTGAAAGTCTTGGAGAAATATTTGAAGATATCGACAATAATCCCTTTGCCAAGAACTCCTAAAAAAGCCTTTAAAAAAATATGACAAAAAACCATACATATGATTTGGAATAGTTGTCACTGATTCGAACTTTAAGGCTACGAAAAGTTCTAAAATGGTACAAAACTTCTAAAATGGTACTTGAAAAATTTGTATGAAAATCAAGGGTGGAAAATGTACTAAATTGTACTAAATATGGAACACTTTGCTTTAGAGTGAACGGTTGAAGCTGGAATTTTGAAAGTTTGGTGATGGGATATCTCTTAGTGGTAGGTTGGTATTAAAGAGTTGATTTTGGACATGTGTACTATGTATGTGTATAGGAAAAGTACTAAGTAGTCCTAAATTTGGTACAATTAGGTACTAGATGAACGGATGATGCTTGAAATTTGATATTAGGCACGCTGTTCATGTACAACCTGGAAATATGGAGGTGGTTTCGGAGACGTGTACTATAATGGTACGAAAAGTACTTAATAGTACTAAATATGTAATTGAGTGGAGGGATAGTGATAAAATTCTAAAAGTTTAATTTGAAGATTTGGCGGTGGTTTGGATAAGTGTCCTGCATTTGCACCTAAAGTACTAAATGGTACTAAATGTGGTGTTGGGTGAAGGGATTGATATTGAGGTTGCTGTTTGTATCTGTAATTGAACAGTTTGGTTTAGGGTGAACGGATGAAGCAGGAATTCCCAACTTTTTGGTAATGGGATCACTGTTGTTTTGTGACGAAGATGTGGTTTTGGAAATGTGTAATACAAGTACACGAAAGGTACTAAATAGTACTATGTTTCATAAAATTTGGTATTAGGTGGACAGATAGTGCCTAAAATCTGAAATTTAGTATTAGGGCCGCTGCTAATGTGTAGCTTGGACATATGGAAGTGGTTTAGAAAATTTGTACTATAATTGTACGAAAAGTACTAAATGGTACTATATCTGGTATTGGGTGAGGGGATAGGACTGGAGTCCTTAAATTTTGTAAAAATGACACTGTTGATATCTGTGGTTAAGATATGGAGGTGGTTTTGGAAATGTGTACTAAGTGTGCGAACTGTACTAAATGGTACGAAATTTGGAATAATTTGGTTTAGGGTGAACAGATAGTGCCTGAAATCTGAAATTTGGAATTAAGGGTCGCTGTTCATGTGTATCCTGGGTATATGGAGCTGGTTTTGGAATTTTGTGCATTATAATGGTACGAGCAGTACTAAATGGTACTAAATTTGGTGTTGGTTGAAGGGATAGAGATAAAATTCTGATATTTGGTATTGAGATATGGAGGTGATTTTGGAAATGTGTACTAAATTGTACGAAAAGTACTTAAAAGTACATAATTTGGTATAGGGTGATGGAATAAAACTGAACTCATGAAATGTTATATAGATGTAACTGATGGTGTCTGTTGTGAAGCTAGTATTAGTAATGTGTGCTACAATTGTTCGAAAAGTACTAAGGGGTACTAAATTGGGTATTGGGTGAAGGGATAGAACTGAAATGCCGAAATTTGTCACTAGGGCCTTTGCATAATAAATGTTACTTAATTTGTTATTGGGTGAAGAAACAAAGCTTGAATTCTGAATTTATTTATTGAGGTCACTGTTCGTTTCGAGGATTTACATATGTAGACGTTAAAATAGTTTTGGACAGAAAACATGGATTATGGTTCAGTGTGCAATGATTCTACTAATATCCTCCTCGGAAAACTTCAAAATGAAAGATTATGAAGACTTTTTGGTATAAATGGTATAATATTTCCTATTTTTCCGAAAAGGGAAAAAACCTGAATATTATATAAAAAAATAAGTACGATGTATGAAGATTTGATAAAAAAAAGTTGTCAAACTGTACAAATTGATTTAAAGCCTTTAGACTATTTTTTGTGGGGCTATGTTGAAGCTCATGTCTTAATGAGACCACGTCAATTGACTAGCATTGGAAGACAACATTGAAGTATTTATTTGTAAGATACCGGCCGAAGTTTGGCGTTTAACATTTGTATGAAGTAATCTCCAAAATTGAAATTATATGGAACCTAGTATCGAGTCAAACATAAATTTTACACATTTTTTTGAATCGTAAGTTTTTTTTTTTTTTTGAAAAAATCCCTATTGCTATATACCTAAAATTTGGAATCAAATATTAATATTTATTTCAAAATTTTTCTTATCTTAGATATTCCGATGGCACTATCAAATTACGTAACCCAAATATTGAACTCATGGATCAGGACATTCTCTATCATTTGGCCTTGGGCAGTGAATCTCACGATTTGAATGAAATGTTCGGTGATGTTAAGGTGAGTTGAAAAATAGATATTTAGCAAATAAATCGAATGAGACGAATTTATGGAAAAAAACAGTAAAGAAAGTCTTAAAGTCGGGCGGGGCCGACTTTATGATACCCTACACCAATTTGCTAATTTAGTAGAGCTCCGCATAACAATTAAAAGTTTTTATGGGAGAATTCAGTCATACACGCTATGATTATAATTATAATTTAAAGTTCAAAGGACTAAATATGCCGAAGCATTTGTATATTTTAAATTCGGAATTGTATTGCCCATTTGGTGCACAATAAATTTGAAATCGGATAGAGATTTATATGGGAGCTATTTCCAAATCTGAACCGATATCGATAAAATTTGGCAAAGATAATTCTGAGCTGCATTTGATATATTTCCCTGATAGTTACGGAGTGCATATTACGGTTGTGGGTAAAAACTATAACAAATCGGATGAACAATATATGGGAGCTATACCGATCTTCACCAAATTTGACATATTAGCTTCTGGACACAAATCGGTCGTTAGTGCCAAATTCTATCCCATTTGGACAAATATTAGAAATTTGGTGCACAATAAAATGTAAATCGGACGAAGTTCTATATGAAAGCTATATTCAAATCTGAACCGATCTCGATAAAAAATTAGCAAACGTATTTCTGAGCTGTATTTGATATATTTCCCAAGATATTGTTGTTACAGAGTGCATATTACGGCTGCGGAGAATAAAAATAACAAATCGGGTGAACAATATATATGAGTGCTATAGCTATATCTGAACCGATTTATATCAAATTTGGCATACTTATTTTCAGGCCTAATTTGGTTGTATGTGCAAAATTTTAAACAATTCGGGCTGATATTAGACGTTTGGTGCACAATAAAAGGCAAATCGGACGAAGATATATATGGGAGCTATATCTAAATTTTGACCGACTATCGCCAATTTCAATAGGGTTCATCCCTGGGCCAAACAAATGATCTGTGCAAAATTTCATTTGGATAGGGCAATAAATGCGAACTGTACTTTGTTTAGAAAAATTCATGGACAGACGGACGGACTGACGGACATGCATAAATCGACTCAGAATGTGATTCTTTGCAGATTATCGAAAGGAACTATGGGGCTATCTCTACACCTTGTGGTGTAGGGTATAAAAACACCTCCATATCTCAATTCTAGATAACAACAGAGGACCCAATATTAAATTTCGGGATTCCAGCTCAATCTCTTCATCATATACACAACTCTAGTACTATTTAGCACGCTTCGTACATATATATCGTACACATTTCCAAAACTACCTCCATATCTTACCCACAGACACCAACAGTGGCATATATATCTATAGCTTTATTCCTACACCCCATACCAAATTTAGAACTATGTAGTACTTTTCGTACAATAATAGTACACAATTCCAAAACTACTTCCATGTCTTCTAGGTACCAACAGAGTCCTCAATATCAAATTTGAGGATTCAAGCTCTATTCCTTCACCCAATACATAATGTAGTACTATTTGGTGCTTTTCGTACAATTATAGTACACACCTCCATATCTCAATTCTAGATACCAGTAGAGTCCTATATATCTAATTTGAATATTTCAGGCCTATTTATTCACCCAATACCAAATTTAGTACTATTCAGTGCTTTTGGTACAATTATAGTACACATTCATATCTCAATTCCAGATGACCACAGTGTCCTCAATATCAAATTGCTGAATTACAGTTCTATCAATTTAGTGCTATTTAGTACTTTTCGTACAATTATAGTACACAATTCCAAACCACAGTCAAATTTCCAACACATATACCAACAGTGATACCTACATTAAATTTCAGCATTTCAGCTCTATCTCATCTATCCTTTGAATTCAAGAAATAATAAATAAATAATTTACCTCTAGGATTTAAATTTTTAAAAATCTTAAAACCTGGTTTCTAAAAATTTTCAGTCAAATAAATTTGTTTCTAATCAATTTTCCGTTTTGTTTTAATTTTATTTTTAGTTCGTTTGCATGGGCGGGACACCAAAGCGTATGGAGAACTTTGCACATTTCATTATGAATGAAATCGGCTACAAATTACCTGCAGGCACGATGTTGCAGGACATCAGCGCCTACTCGTATCGGTATTCGATGTACAAAGTTGGACCAGTGCTTTGCGTCAGTCACGGCATGGGAACGCCCTCTGTTAGCATTCTGATGCACGAAATGATCAAACTGATGTATCATGCCAAGTGCCAAGACCCGATCTTCATACGTATTGGCACTTGTGGTGGCATTGGTGTAGAGGGTGGCACTGTCATCATCACCGAGGATGCTCTGGATGGTCAGTTGAGGAATTCTCATGAATTTGTAAGTTAGACAACAACAACTACAAAAGAAAATTTAAATGAATTACAACAACTGAAATGTTTTTAATTTATTTTCCAGACCATTTTGGGTAAAGTCGTTCATCGCCCCGCCAAATTGGACAAGAAGTTGGCTCGTGAACTTAAGGCCTTGGCCAGTCCCGATGATCCCTATGATACCATAATTGGCAAGACATTGTGCACCAATGATTTCTATGAAGGTTGGTTAGGAAAAAAACGAACTGAATTTTGGAATGAAAATAACCCTTGATTTTATTCTCTCCTTAGGTCAAGGCCGTTTGGACGGAGCATTCTGTGATTTTTCCGAAGCCGATAAAATGGAATATTTACAAAAACTCGCCGACAATGGTGTAGTCAATATTGAAATGGAGAGTACCATTTTTGCTGCCCTTACATATCATGCTGGCATCAAGGCTGCCGTTGTCTGTGTAGCCTTGCTGAATCGTCTCAACGGTGATCAGGTAAGAATGCGATGGTGACCAATTTAGTTGCTTCTACTTTTCCATTTTAACTTTTATCACAGGAATATACAATTTATATAAATTTATTTTCATTGCGGCAAATCGTTGTGGAGTTTATGTTCTTTGTTATAAGGAATTAGGTTTTTTCTGTGAAGAGAGATAAGTTGTAGTTGTTTCCGACACCACCTACATTTCTCAATCCCTGATACTAATAGAGACCTCCATAAAAAAAATTTCGCGATTCCATCTGCATCCATTCACTCAATACCCAATTTAGTACCACCTAGTACTTTTGGAACAATTATAGTACACATTTCCAAAACCAGCACCTTCTGTGAACCGCAGGCACCAACAGAGACATCAATATCAAATTTCAGGATTCCAGTCCTATTCCTTTATCCAATACCAATTTTTTTACTGTTCACATTTTCAAAACAACATCCAGATCTCAATTCCAGTTACCTATAGAGACCTCAATATCAAATTTCGGAATTCCAGCTCTATTCCTTAACTCAAAACCCAATTTAGTACCACTTAGTACATTCCACATACCCACAGAGACCTCAAAATGTAAATATGACGACTCCAGACCTATCCCTTCACCCAAAACCAAATTTAGTACCATTTGGTGCGTACAAATTTATGAGGTATCAATTATCCATAATCTAAATATAAAATTTCAGAATTGTATGTCTATATCTTCGCCTAATACTAAATATCCATTCAGTACTCCTCATATAATTATAGTACACATTTCCGAAACCACCTCCATATGTCCAGGCTGCACGTGAACAGCGACCCTAATATTAAATTTCAGATTTCAAGTACTATTTGTTCGTACAAATACAAATTGTACCAAATTTAGTACTATGTAGTACCCATAATAGTAATCCTACCGCCAATAGTAATCTTAAATCCAAATTTAAAGATATCAGCTCTATCGGTTCACCAAAATCCAAATTGTACCAAATTTAGTACATATAAGTACACATTTTAAAAACTACTTCCATATCCCAGTCTTACACTACGACAGTAATCTTATTCCAAAATTTCGGGACATTAATTCTATTGGATCACCAAAATCCAAGATGACCCGAATTTAGTACCATTTAGTACACATAAGTTCGAATTTACAAAGTTTCCTATATACCTGAGTTCTACAATGCAAGATTAATCTTATTTCCAAATTTCAGGATATCAACTCTATTGGTTCACCCAAATTAAAATATTACCAAATATTGTATCATTTAGTACTTTTTGGGCAAAAAAGTACAAATTTTCAAAAACTACCTCCATAACCCAATCCTACACTCCGCCAGCAATGTTAATTTCAGGATTCCGCCTCCATCCGTTCCTCCAAATTCCAATTGTACTAAATTCAGTACAATTTAATGTGTACTATTTAGTACATATAAGTTCGAATTTCCAAAACTTCCTACATACCTGAGTTCTATTTCCAAATTTCAGGATATCAACTCTATTGGTTCACGCAAAACAAAATTGTACCAAATTTACTACCTGTTAGTACTTTTCAGGTACATAAGTACAAATTTCGACACTCGTCCAGCAATGTTAATTTCATATTTCTAAATTGAAATTGTACGAAATTTAGTACCGTTTGGTGCTTTTCGTATATTTTGTTCCGTTGTTCCAAAACAACCTCCAACATTGATTCCCATTCCAAATTTCAAGTTTCACATGATACGAAATTGTACCAAATGTAGTACATTTTAGTACTTTTCGTACACTCATAGTATGAATTTCTGAAAACCCTTACCCGTACATCAATTATACACCCCATTCCAAATATCAAGTTTCAAAAGATAAGAAATTGTAGCACATGTAGAATATCTAGTATAATTTTAGTACTTCCAGTGCCCGTTTAGTACGAGTTTCCAAAAACCCAGACTTGAGCAAAATTTCTAGATTCAAACTTCAGCCGTTTCGCCTGGGCGTTGATTCTCCGTCAGACAATCAATTATTTTACAACTCACTTATGTATAGCAATGTACAGGGTGACATAAAAAACTGCAACAAAGTCAAACTTCATAATTTTTTCATTTTATTAAATGAACGCAGAAAATGTCGGAAATAGCATCAAATTTTAGAATAAGTTTAGATTTTTTCGAATTGGTCAGCTTTGGCACGAATTATGGCCTTCAAATGGCCAATTAAATGAAGCGAGGAACCTCATTTTGTAACCATGTTTTGTCCTGTCCTGTTTGTCTGTTAAGGTCTGCGTGCTCAAGGCTTTAATACATGCTCCAGAATATTTTCGCGATAATATTCGGCATTTATTCTGATGCCACGGTCGATTTATACTAGTGGAGAGCGACCATCGGCTGCTAGGACGGCCGATTTATCAATGTCCGTCCGTCTGTCCGTCTGTGGAAATCTCTCTAGCTTCCGAACGAATTGAAGTAGATGGATAAAATTTTACTCAAATGTACATTATGTCTGCAGGACTTTTGGTATTGAAAATGGGCCATGTAGGTCCACGTTTTGGTACTGCCGCCATATACCGGTACCACCCGATATTCGACATTTTGATAAGTTTAGCGACATTATTCACTGGAATTCTTTCAAATTTGGTATTTGATGTTCGTAGTGGATACTACAGCCTATGACAAAAAATTGCCTCTGCAGGTTCACGTCTTCGTATAGCCTCCATATAAAGGTAGCCCCCGATTTTTATACCCTCCACCTTGGAAAGGAGGGTATATTAACTTTGTCATTCCGTTTGTAACATCCTTAAATATTCGTCTTAGACCCCATGAGGTATATATATTCATAATCAGCATAAAATTCTAAGTCGATTTAACGATGTCCGTCTGTCTGTCCGTCTGTCTGTCTGTCTGTCTGTTGAAATCACGATACAGCCCACGTTATTTGACGTAGATCGCCAAAATTTAGCAGAGCTATTTGCATTGTGTCTAGGATGATTGGTATTGAAAATGAGGTATATCGGTCCATGTTCTGGTATAGTCCCCATATAACGGTACCTCCCGATATTCGGTATTTTGATGATTTATGCCACATTTTTTCACGGATTTGTCTGAAAATTGGTATTTGTAGGTCATAACGGGTTCCTGAGCGTGTGGCAAAACATTGCATGTATAGGTCCACGTTGTGGTATAGCCCCCATATAAAGGTACCTCTCGATATTCGGTATTTTAGTTTTTTTGCCACATTTTTTCACGGATTTGTCTGAAAATTGGTATTTGTCGGTCATAATGGGTTCCAGCTTCGGTGGCGAAACATTGCATGCATGGGTCCATGATTTGATATAGCCCCCATATAACGGTACCTCCCGGTATTCTGTATTTTGATTGTTTTTGCCACATTTTTTCACGGATTTGTCTGAAAATTGGTATTTGTGGGTCATAATGGGTCCTAGTTCGTGTGGCGAAACATTGTAATTATAGGTCCGCGTTTTGGTGTAGCCCCCATATAACGGTACCTCGACATTTCTTCTAATGTTTCTTTTACCCTAAGGTGGAGGGTATTAAAAGCTTGGCCCGGCCGAACTTAATGTTTTTTTACTTGTTTAAGTTTAACATTTTTGTTGGGAACTCCAACCGAAGTAAAACCATTTCGAAATTGTGCTAAAAAGTTATGTATGCCTGTAGCTTGTATCCAAAATAGATTTTAGTTTTATTTTTCAAATTCTGTAAGATATATTAATTGTTTTTTAATTCTCTTTTCCAGGTCAATTCCCCCAAAGAAGTTATGAATGAATGGCAGGCACGGCCACAAATTCTTGTAGCGCGATATATACGCAAAGTATTAGCCCAAAAGGGTCAACTGAAGAGTCTATTCAATGCTCAAGGATCGATTAAGTCACCCAGACGTTTTAAGCTGGTACAACAGGAATCGCAGGCCCACGAATAGAGGAGATGGCAAACAGGCAGACAAACTCACCATATATATACACTAAAACTACAACTTTATATATTTATTTTAATCTCTAAAACTATAAATACCTAGGCATATACATACCTAGTGTTATATAAATATATAAACAAATATGTGTAAAATTTGCAAACTTTTTTCTAATGTAGTTAAATTATTCACTTACATACAGACATGTGTACTTATTATAAAAAACACAAAAACTCTAAAAAATATGTATATTTGTATACATATATGTGTGAACTATGAAGACCGGCAAGGCGAAATATGTTTGATGGACATAAACATGGAATTATATATATATATATATATATATATATATATATATATATATATATATATATATATATATATATATATATATATATATATATATATATATATATAAACACATACAAAGCAAAACAAACCTACACATACACACACATAGGCATTTATAAATAGAAACAACCAAAAAATATTCTTTTGTAGACCTAAGTATGTTGAATTATATCTTCAAACTGATGAGACATCTAGAGATCTATCTATTCATAAATACCTACAAACAAATAAAAAAAGTATATGCATATACAAACATACATATATATACCTACATATAAATAGTTTTATCTTTACTCTTAACAAGAAAAATGAAAACAAATCTATTCTGGAAACCAACACAAATTTGAAAAAAAAATATGAAAATTAACACCCACACATTATGATATGTAAAATATAAAAAACAAAAATTATATATTGAAAAGCAAAAAAAAAAAAAAAAATAAATATAATCGCATTTACACCCATTATCACAAGGCTCTCGTCACAATGGATGGCTGAAATCCAATACCCCAGCAATGATGGCTGATAGAGAGAATGTTCTCATTTCAAAGGCGCAGGAAAGAGGATTTACGAAAAAAAAAATTCAAGTTTTTTTTAGGCGAAATGGACTAAAATGAATAGACCAAAAAATCAAAAATGAACCAATGAATATTTTCCGCAAAAAAATTGGCTCCATCTTATTAAACAGAATGTCGCACAGTCCTCTAAAGCATGAAGTTTTTTGTTTCAAAAAATATTTGGATTCTAATTTTTCCGGATTGCCTTAGGATTTCTCCATATTACTAAGGCCCTTCGAGTAGGATTGATTTAACATCCATTCTGGCATTAGCCTTCGGGTATAGTGTACCCCAGAAAAATGTGCACCTAAATTATGACCGAATTGCTGACTATTATTATATTTTTTATTTTTGTTACAATAATACTGATATAAATTCCATATTTATTGTAAGATAAGCATTTCATAAATAATTTTATTTAATTTCAATTTTTCTTTGCTTTCAATTTTTTTTATATTTGTAAATTTATTTATTTTTTAATAAAACAAAAAGCATTTGGATAAAAAAAAAATAGAAATAAATAAGTTTGACATATTTTTATTTACATTTCGAATACCCTATTTCACTACATACAAAAAGGGTGAGATAAAAAAAACTGCAAAAAAGTCAAACGACATCATTTTTACATTTTTTTTTAAATTTTTTAAAATTTTATTTTATTTTTTTAAAATTTTAAAATTTTTTTCTGGAAAATTCTAATTTTAACAGCTGTCGGGCGAGTGGCTTAGAAATAACAGCAGCCTGAAGATGGTTGCAGTTTTTCCATCTCACTCTGTATATGATCTGTTTTTTGGAAACTCTATATCACTATATATGAGATACGAACTGCAGGGAAATATTGAAATAACATTTAGTTAATCGATCAACATGTCTTGGCCGTCATTGCCATTGGTGGTTCAGAATTCAATTTTTCTGGCCAAAAATCCCATTTTTTTACTTAAAATGTTCCGAAATTGGATTTCCCTGTATAAGTCGCTCTCCGAATTCCATAGCCACGGGGGAATCAATTTTTGGATGTTTTCCGAACATTTTACTCTTGTTTATATCAGTTGGGTCTCCTTTGTGAGTTCGAAAGACATATCCGACTATGTCGGCGCAAACGCTTGGAAATATTTAAAAAATAACCAGTAAGGAAAGGTCAAAAGTCGGACGGTGCCGACTATATAATGCCCTACACCACCATGCGTATTTAGTAGTAGAGCTCCCGTAAATGTTTATTATAGAGCTCCCATTAATGTTTATTGGAGAATGCTTCACAAATGGTAAAATTCGGACCGAGTTTCATCAAATGGTAAAATTCGGTTGAATATGGAAAAATCTATTCATTTTGGGCTGATATTACATGTATAGTGAAGATGATACGGATGAAGATGTTTATCGAAGCTATACAAAAATCTAAACCGATCGCGATAAAATTTGGCAGTGGTATTTTTCAAGCTGTATCGGATAAAGATATATATGGGAGCTATATCCTAATCTGAACCGATCTCCAAATTTTAGGCACTTATTTCTGAGCTGTTTCTGATATCTGGTACCAAAGATCCTTGTTGTGAAGGGCATATTGCGGGTGTGAGGGACTTAAAACCTCAAATCAGATGAAACATATGTATGGGAGCTTTAGCTATATCTGAACCGGTTTTCCACAAATCTGAAGCACAGGCTTCTAGGATGAATTCAGTCGGAATTGCCAAGATTCAGTTCATTTGGGCTGATGTTAGCTATTTGGTGCACAATAAATCTGATTTCGGATAAAGATATATGTGGAAGCTATATCCAAATCTGATCCGATCTCGTCGGATGTACAAAAATTCAGGACTTTTGGAATGATATTGGCTATTTGGTGCACAATTAACCCGAAATCGGTGGAAAATATATATGGGAGCTATATTCAAATCTGAACCGATCTTGATAAAATTTGACGGAGGTATTTCTAGGCTGTATCTGATATATCATTGTATTACGCATGTGAGGGACTTAAACACTAAATCGGACGAAACATATATATGGGAGCTTTAGCTATATCTGAACCGGTTTTCACTAAATTTGATGTACTTGCTTCCAGACTGAATTCGGTTGTATGTGCCAAAATTCAGGTCATTCGGACTTATATTGGCCATCTGGTGCACAATTAACCCAAAATCGGTTGAAGATATATGTGGAAGACGGCCAATGAAACCGTCACATACTGCCCGAATGTTGTTCTGCGGTATTTCGGCCCTTTCCCGGCGAAGCACTTGCTTGAGATGATCGGCAATTTGGTATTTTTTAGTGCCAACCTTGCTTTCCAAAATACTCCAGACAAAATAGTCCATCGGATTGGTATCCAGAGATTTTGGTGGCCATTGTGCGATGGAAATGAGGCGAGGAACCTCATTTTTTAATCGTCGGAGAAAACCAAATTCGGCAGTTCACCACTTTCGTTAGCTCTTTTGAGTCTATTTTCTTTCTGTTGCGCTGTAAGTTCTTAAACTTTTTGGAATTTCCATGGCTTTACCCCGAGCTCATTTTTCAATATTTGTCGAATGGAATATTGCCATATGTTGAGCTCACGAGCCATTTTTCGCCCACTGCGACGCGGGTTTCGATCAAGTCGCTTTTTTACTTTTCGAACCATTTCAGCTGATGTTGCTGTTTTCATCCGTCCAGTTCCTATCGAAATTGGTTCAGATTTTGATATGGCTCCCATGCCTATTTCCCTCTAATACGATGTAAATGCTATACTCTATCAGTATTATGTTTGTCTAATTAGATTGAATTTTGAATTATTCGTTCCAGTTCAAATTAGCCAGTCAAATTTCAGCCAAATCGATTCAGATGTATAGCTATAGCTCCCATACAAATATTTTATTTGATTTAATATTGAAACTCTCCCGAAGTGTTTATCACTATATGCTCTATAGCAATTATATTTGTTAAGGGAGGAAATCACATACAGCAGAGCAAATCCTCCGTCAAATTGTGTAAAAATAAATTTAGACTAAGATATTCCTCGCATATATTAGTTCCGATCTAAATTTAAGACAGTAATACGCTTTGCAGAATATCTATCATTGTTGGTGTAATTTACCTCACACAAATTCCCAATATAAAAATCTATTTTCGTTAAGGATAGAACAGCTATATATGCCTAGTGGTCGTCTAGAGTATCATATAGTCAGCTCCGCACCATTGTTGGTCATTCTATGCTGCTTGTGTTTCTAAGAGTTCAATAATTCGGGATTTAACCAATTTTCTTCTTCAAATGATAAACCCAACAATATTTTTTTTCACTTTATGACAAAAAAAATTATGGCCTTGGCAGGGGTAACTTATTTATATGGGTATATGTCTTGATTTAGAGTATCACATGGTCCTTTCTCAACTTTCTAATCATTTATTTGTAACATACTTTGGCTACATCAGTCCTCGCTTTATTATGTGTGTATTTTTTATTTTTTTTTTTTTAATTTATTTGTTTTTTAAATTTAGGAATAAAAAAGCTGAATTCTCTTTAGAGGGAGAACTAGAAAATTAATTCCCACGCAAACGATTTGCATTAAACAACCAAAAGAACAAAGAAAAAAAACCAACAACCAAGCAACGAACAATTTTTGAAAAATACACAACCCCCACACAAACACACCCACCCCAAAAAAAACCCAGTTACATAATAAAAAAAATTGAAAATAACAGATTATATTATACATATGAAAAAAAAAAAAACAAACAGTGCAAAAAATTAAATTAATAAAAAGATTAAGAGCAATGTATTTATTTTTGTGTCTTTGTTATAATTAGCGAATTGTTTTCTGTTATAGTTATTTTTTTAACATTTGAAAAATGTTTACAAAATGCAATGCAAATAAAAAAAAACAAAAAAAAACAAATGATAAAAAAGCGAAAAATAAAATTTAAATATATATATAAATGTTAATTTATACGAAGAAAATCGTGTAAAAAATAAATGAGTGCAGCTTCTAGTATTTTATTTGTTAAAGGGATAAGCTGAGGTATTATTACGCCCTGGACTTGTATGTATTCATTGCGTTGTCTGGGTTAACAAACATAACTCCGAACCAAGTTCTTCGACTAGGCCGAAAAAATTAAAAAAAACAAGCAAAAAAACTAAGTTGGGCCTAGCTGAACTTTAAATATCCTTCACCATTTGTAACGAATTTGGCAATTTTCAAAAAATGAAATCCCTTAAAAATTATGTTAACATCGTAAAAATACCGAAAGTAGCCCTATATTATACGACGACGTGGACCTGCATAGGCAACTTTTGTCATAATGCGAAACTTAAAACCAGTAAAAAAAGTCTTAAGCCGGGCGGGGCCGACTTTATGATACCCTAAACCACTTTGCTAATTTAGTAGAGCTCCACATAAC